ACCGGCCTTCTTCGGGAAGAGCAGCAGCTTGGACATGTAGAGCTTCAGGCGCTCGACGTTGGCCTGGAGGCTCTCCGTGCATCGATTCCTGCGGCGGTGGTCGATGGCAATGCCGATGGTCTTCGCGTACTTCTTGGGGATCTTGGCCTCCAAGAAACCCATGCAAGCACTCCACAGCGTACACCCTAGCCGTGAATCGCAAACCCCAAACCCAAAGCCGCAAACCCTACACCCTCAACCTTCAACCCTCCTATGCTCTCATGCACCCTAAACTCTAAAACCCCACAAACCCCCAAATTTCAAAAGCCTGAAGGCATGACGCTTTTGCCTCCTTGAGCTCGTCCAACGTGAAGCCCTTGCCCAGGCGTAGCTTCATGTTGTAGCCTGGAGTCTGTGTAGGGGTTGAGGAATTTTAGAGGTTTTTGGGACCTCAGGATTCGGGAAGTTTAGGTTTTTCGGGTGCTAGGAAGTGTCGGGATTTTAAGGGAGCAGGAAGTTTAGGGTTTCGGGTGTTAGGAAGTTTAGGGCTTAGGGTTGCGTCTTTCTTACATCACTCCATGAAACCGCACCCGTTGGATCCTCAGGAGGTTCTCAAAAAGTACGAACGGGTAGGGTTTAGGACTTTGGATTGAAGGTTTAGGGCTTTGGATTTAGGGTTCAGGGTTTAGGTTTTGGATTTAGGGTTTTCTTTTGTTTTGGATTTAGGGTTTAGGGTTTCGGATTTAGGGTTTTGGGTTTAAGGTTTAGGGCCTAGGGTTTACCGAACTCCTCAACATCAGGAACCTAGAGACTTTAACGTCGCTACACCCCACGGTCTTAGCATGTCGGGTTTAGGGTCAGGGATCTATGACATTGGCTCAGGGCGTTGCCTAGGGATTTGGGGCCTGAACACCAGAGGAAGCTTGATTTAACGGGCTTAGGGTTTAGGGTCTACTTGGAGTTTCATGGGCAGTTAAAAGTAGAGTTGGAAGCAGGAGATCTATATTTATGACCTATATTATGGGACTTGTACCTGCCCATGAACCTCCAAGTAGGGTTGGGGATCTTGGCTTAGAGTCTTCCTTCGCGACTCTCAGCTCAGGGGTCTGGCTTGAGCGCAACAAGATCAAGGGAGGAGCCAGTTCTGCTACAGAGCTTTGGGGTTGAACTTAGGGCTCAGGGTGCTTCTAAGCCAAGTTTTGTACGGCACATATAAGCCAGCTACAACTCAAGAAACTCCCAAGTTCAAGACTTAGACAAGCGGCGCTGCGTAGGCGGATGCACCACCGGCCGCAACCTAAGACAAGGTTTCGGGTTTCGGGTGATTGCATCATGCTCCTGCAGGGGTGCCCACTCACTACCCTGTCCCTTGTGCATAGTAGCAAAGACTATGATGACGATGGTAGTGACAATGAAAATCCTGCCGACCAGCAGCAGGCCGCATACCACAATAACGAATATCACTGCTATCATCATCAACGAAATGTCCGTCGCCACTGTCATCACAGCCGTCGCTTTCAGGAGTGCAATCATGGCAAGGATGCTATGGGCAGGTACATCGACTGCAACCGCAAAAACGGCCTGTTGTTTTCTCGACTCTGTGCTTGTAGTTGGATACTTTCTCGTGCGCGTTCTCTGTACATCGTTGATTGTCTTGCCAACAGCTTTGTTGCAACTTCTGCTACTGCACCTCGAACTGGTCATGCTTCGACCAGCACCTTTGTCCAACCTATCATCCTCCAACTGAAAATCCCGACAAGGAAAGCGTCCTTAAAAAAGGAGTCTCGAACACCCAACAGGCCATAACATAAAAGAAAGCCGAGCGAGGAGCTGAAGAGTGAAAGAAAAATCAGAACTAGTCAGACCAATCGCTGTGATAACTCACGCAGTGTGGGCAGGATACGGGCCTTAGTAATAAGCACAGCATCTTACGGTCATATTGTACCGTATCTATGTAAGGACCATAGGGGAACATTATTCTACTTATTCAACCCCGTTCACCCTGAACCCTAAACCCTCAGCCCTTAGCCATCAGTTAGTTGCAGCAGCCCATGGACGAGGAATAGCTGAGGGGTCATCGTCGACATCATCGGCGTAGTAGTATTGGGAGTCACGAGAATACACTATGGGCAGCTGCAACTGCAGTAGCAGCCATACATGGTCACTGCTAGTGCTACTGCTACCGCTACTCCGTTGTCTTCCTGCTACTGCTACTGCTGTTGCTACGGCTACTGCTACTGCTGCTGCTACTGCTACTGCTACTGCTACTGCTACTGCTACTGCTACTGCTACTGCTACTGCTACTGCTACTGCTACTGCTACTGCTACTGCTGCTGCTGCTCAAACGACTGCCGGCTGTAAGCCTTAAAATGTTAAAAGCTCTAAAACCTACAACCTAAAACCCAGACCCAAGCACTACCCCTGAAGCCTAAACCCCTGACCCTAGAACCCCGAACCGCAAACCCTAACACGAAGCCTTAAACCCGATAACCCTACAACCCCCAAACTCTAAACCTTAACCATGAAGCCTGAACCCTAAACCCCAAACCTCATAGGGATTTCTATTTTAAATGAACCCTTCAGCTCCTTGAAGGAGTCATGCTAAGGGATGTACAGGGCTTGCTTTGAGGGCTTCCTGCATGGGCTCCTTTAAAATTTAAAGGAACCTTTAACCCCAAAGCCCTAAACCCT